TCGTAAATAAGACATTTTTTCCCGTAAAATATAAAGGATATAAAATGGTTATTGTGGGTTATCCTTAACAGATAATAGTTAAATAGCCCCTTTATTTGGGTCGTTGTGTGTATGAGCCGTGGCCAGTACAGCTAGCCCAGCTCCGCCCACAAGCACAGAAGTTTCCCGTTTTACAGAAGCGGCCTCACCATTCCAAGGATTTCTAAACGTTGAGGGGCTACAGCTTCACATTTCAGGATTAAGAGAGTAGCCGTTTCTTCGGCGTCGAAACAGCCTCGACATAGAGGGCTGACTGTAGCTCCTATTGCGTAAATGTTTGTTTAATGGACAATGGCCCGTTATTGTCCCTATCATTATTTTGAGGTTTTTCATATCTAGATGTAATTAACGTTTTGATATTTTTTTTATACAACTTAGAATGGCAATCAAGCTGACGGGGGGGGGAGGGATTGTTAGTAATGGAGACTGAGAATCCCATTGCTAGCAATATACTCAACCAGGTCGACCTCCTCGCGGTTCCCCCTGGAAACTATCATGGTTAATTTCTGATGAATTCATCATGATGGGCTAACTGGCCAAGGTATCCCGTTAGCGCAGGCGGAGTTACCGATACCATTTTCACCCATAAAAAAAAAACAAGCTGACGGCCCACCTGATGTAAAGTGGTAACTTAGTGGTAGCCATGCAAACACAACTGCTTCACGGTTGAAACACGAATGGGACAGAGGTACCTAAGCAATCGATTTTTGTACAAAGTCTCCCTCTGGTAACAACATGGTGGACATTGACTCAACGTTACGTTGATTAACGTCTCCCTCTGGTATTATTATTAGGAAGTATTTGCATTGCTCCTACACGCTAGATCTTATAACTTGTACCATTTTTAATTTAAATTAATATTGAATTGCTTAATACGTACTAATATGTTTTGGTATCACGTAATAAATTATGTTACATGTTACCGATCCCTATCTAGTCAAATACTTTCTACCGACTTTCATAAAAGAGGTTCTGTGTTTGAATGTGTTTTTTTTTATACAACTTAGAATGGGGTCATTCCATTTGAAATCGTCTAATCGGCAAAGCTGACCCATTTTAGATTTTAGTGTAACTTTGAGGGACTCTTCTCTAGGGTTCCTAAGAATGAAATTTACACGAATTTGATTTTTATAAGCGCTTGATTCCGCGCATTTAAATAAAATCTTCAAAATATCGATTTTTTTTAGTTTAATTAATTTTTCCTCAAAGTTTTTTCTTTTTGAAGATTATTCCATTATTGAACCGTAATTCTTAGGTGAATAGATAGATAGTAGTTTAAGTATACCAAATAATAATTTGCTCAATAAATACCTACCATTAGCGACAGCGTGCTGAAAATGAGTGTTTTTTAGTCATTTTTCGTGAATTTTAAGGGACTCTAGTGTCTTTACTGTTTGGAGTTAACAACTTCTGGTCGGCAGGAATAAGTACACATATCATAGATAAAATTCAGCCATTGATCGACTTGAGCCGCCCACTCTTTATGGAAGATAACTTTGTTTGAAATTTTGAAATTTTGAAAAATCGCATTATTCAGCCTATAAAATGAATGTGTCTACTGCGAGATAAAATTCTGAACTTCTCAGAATCTTTTGTTCTAACCTTCAACTTTGGACGACTGTATCGCTTGTTTTGTTATTTTAATGTTTAGTGCATGTCCCAGCCGTTTTTTGACAGCAAAAATCACGTCAATTTTTTTTATATTATAATCATTATAAATTTAATTTTTTTTTTATTTCTTTCCACTTATAAATATCATGTCTTACCTTTTTATTGATCCACAGGTACTTTTATCTTTACAGTTTATTACTAGACGTTTCGAAATAAATTATGAACAAAAATAAATATGAATGTGAAAAGATTTTTACAGATTCAATAGAATTATGGATATATTGAGTATAAAATTATCTTCAGAAGTAATAGTTACTGGAAAAGACAGTTACTGTAAACAAATTTAACTGGAAAATTATTTTTTATTCAACAATTGACGTTTTGGTCTTACAATATTAACAATGTCAAAATTATCGGAAGCCGAGTATCTCCGCGCTTCCAGTTGATTTTGAGAAATTGGTATAAAACTATGATATGATCTCTTATTTTTAATTGTATTTATATTTATAAATCGTTCAGATAAGAACGTTTCAGCAGCTTCCACGTCTTGGCTTGATACATAAAAGAATTTAATGCCAGAAATTTTATTAGAACAAAAATCATACATGGCTACTGGAGTCAAAATATGATGATCTGTAGTTCGCTGCAAGCTTGCTTTTCTCACGTACCTTTTGATTGTACCACCTGCTCCATCACATGGACTTTTTCCATGAGAAGTGAAAGAAAGAAAGAAAGAAAGAAATGCCACTCTACCTGTAGTCCAAAGTCTGCTTCATGATGACATATATTTATAAAATTTTTCTTATTCTTGTATTGAGCAGCTGCTCCGTCACTAAAGTAATAAATTTTTTTAAACTCCGGATGGCTGTTTTTGACATAATCAAGAAAAATTTTTTGAAACGCGTAAAATAATACTGTATTGTGAGTAAGATAATCACTTATCACGCATAAAGTTTTTACCTTCAGCACTCCGTCTTCTTTAAAATAAATCACAAAAGGATGTAGAGTAGCTTGATTATTTGTCCAATGAAAAGCTTGTACTTCATCTTGCACCATGAATGAATAAAATTTCGATTATGAATAAAATCATACTCTTAATAATTTAGAAAAAAAATAAAATGAATTGACGTGATTTTTGCTGTCAAAAAACGGCTGGGACATGCACTAAACATTAAAATAACAAAACAAGCAATGCAGTCGTCCAAAGTTGAAGGTTAGAACAAAAAATTCTGAGAAGTTCAGAATTTTATCGCGCAGTAGACACATTCATTTTATAGGCTGAATAATGCGATTTTTCAAAATTTCAAAACTTCAAACAAAGTTATCTTCCATAAAGAGTGGGCGGCTCAAGTCGATCAATGGCTGAATTTTATCTATGATATGTGTACTTATTCCTGCCGACCAGAAGTTGTTAACTCCAAACAGTTAAGACACTAGAGTCCCTTAAAATTCACGAAAAATGACTAAAAAACACTCATTTTCAGCACGCTGTCGCTAATGGTAGGTATTTATTGAGCAAATTATTATTTGGTATACTTAAACTACTATCTATTCACCTAAGAATTACGGTTCAATAATGGAATAATCTTCAAAAAGAAAAAACTTTGAGGAAAAATTAATTAAACTAAAAAAAATCGATATTTTGAAGATTTTATTTAAATGCGCGGAATCAAGCGCTTATAAAAATCAAATTCGTGTAAATTTCATTCTTAGGAACCCTAGAGAAGAGTCCCTCAAAGTTACACTAAAATCTAAAATGGGTCGGCAACAATTTTTTTCATTTTTAGACGATTTTAAATGGAATGGCAATCTAGCTGACGGCCCACCTGATGGAAAGTGGTAACCGTCGCCTATAGACATGGGCAGTAGCATGGACATAATAGAGTATACTGTTTCGCCTATGACACCCCCCATGCGTTGCCATTCCTGAGGACTCGGGTGTTATTCCTCTGTACCCAGTAAATTCACGCCATATCCCACCCTTCAAACCAAAACACAGCCATGCGAACACAACTGCTTCACGGTTGAAACACGAATGGGACAGAGGTACCCAAGCAATCGACTTTTGTACAAAGTCTCCCTCTGGTATCCTAACTTAGTATATAAGATAGTTTATGTATTGATTCACGCGTGTGAAACCACATGATTTAATTAGTCATAAATAATCCTATATTTTATTATTAATGAATGATAATGGAATGGTAACTCGCCTGTGTTAACGGTATACGCTGGCGGAGCACCAGTGAGGGATGATAGGTGAGGATGAAAAGGCAGGTCAGTTAGCCCATCGTGATGTATACACATGGAATTCAGCACGATAGTTCCCAGGGGGGTGCACGTGGAGGTCGACCTGACAGCGTATATTGTTAGCAATGGAACGGGTAGTCTGAATTACTAACAATCCCTTCCCCCCAATAGCCTTATATTAATGAATTATACATTTTAATTTAATTAATACGCACAAAGGGAGCAAGCAAGGGAAGCTGATTTACAAGAAACGTAATATACCTCTTTTTAATCTCCAACGTAATAAGAGGGGTGTTATAAATTTGACTTGTCTGTCTGTCTGTGGCATCGTAGCTCTTAAACAAATGGGCCGATTACGATGCGGTTTTTCTGTTTGAAAGCTGTGATCGAGATGGTTCTTAGGTGTAATTTATAAAGATCTATTTTAGGCGTATCTTGGAGCGGCTCGTCTGTGGCATCGTAGCTCCTAAACAAATGGGCCGATTACGTTGCGGTTTTATTTAGTACGAAAGCTGATGTGATCGACACGGGTCTTTCTATACAATTTATCTAGTCAAGTATTTTAAGGTCAGCAGTTTTTTTTTTATATACAGCTTAGTATGGCAAACAAGCTGACGGCACACCTGATGGGAGGTGATAACCGTCGCCTATACACAAGAGCAGTACCATGGACATAACAGGGTATACTGTTTCACCCATGATACCCCCTATGCGTTGCCATTCCTGAGGACTCGAGTGTTGTTCCTCTGTACCCAGTAAATTCACTGCCATATCCCACCCTTCAAACCAACCGAAACACAGCCATGCAAACACAACTGCTTCATGGTTGAAACACGAATGGGACAGAGGTGGCCAAGCAAACGACTTTTGTACAAAGTCTCCCTCTTGTTCTTATAGATTTGTCTGTGTCAGGGATTTTTTTTTTTTTTATTAAATTTATAATTATTAATAAGGAAAACTAAAAAGAGGTTTGTTTGAATCGAAGCATTTGGCGTTCCATTGTTTCTGCCTACCCTAATGGGAGACAGGCGTGACAGATATGTATGTATGTATGTATGAAAACTAAAAATAGTATGTAATTCTTTTTTTTGTTATTATTACAGATTGTACGTAGGAAAGTGGAAGAGAAATGTACACAAATAGTAAGTACTGGTGTTTAATATTATTAAAATAATATTTAGACAGATAGATACTCTCTATTGTTACCTTCAAAAGATTACAATAGTAAACCTGAAATTATATAAAGCTCAAGTCAGGCCACATATGGAATACTGTTCTCACTTATGGGCAGGAGCGCCACAGTACCAACTCCTTCCGTTAGACCGCATTCAAAGTCGGGCGGCTCGAATTATTGATAGTCAGCGCCTTACTGTCTGACTCGACCCACTGAAACTGCGCAGAGATGTTGCATCTCTGTGCATCTTCTACCGAATTTATCATGGGGAGTGTTCTGAGGAATTGTTCGGATTGATACCTGCTGCTGATTTTCACCACCGTACAACCCGCCACAAACTAAAGTTACATCCCAATCATCTGGACGAGTGGCGGTCCTCCACCGTGCGTTTTTCAAGGCACACAAGGTTTTCCAGCAGCAGTATTTCCAAACCGATACGACAACATAACCTTCAAGAAAAGAGTATATTCTATTTTAAAAGGCCGGCAGCACACCTGCAATGCCGCTGGTGTTGTGGGTGATCATGGGCGGCGGTAGTCACTTACCATCAGGTGAGCCGCATGCTCGTTTGCCCCCCTGTGTTCGTACACATGAATCTGTACACAAACTATCCTATGTACCAAAGCAGGATATAATCTACCCGTGTACCAAATTTCATTCAAATTCCGTCTTTTGTACGCGTTCTCGTTCTCTCTTCAAATTGTCCAACACCTTTGTTGACTTGCTTAAGTATCACTGTATGTTGCGCGGAGATCGCGGCTGATTGAATAATTCGCAACTGGCGGAGATTTTTCGTGATCTTGGCGGAACTTGATCAGCTCGACGCGCAGTTGGATTTTAGACTGATTTTGTCCGTCTACCCCCCAATGTGATCCCAGATTTGGTAGGGAATATGGATAGGTAGGGAGGGTAGAAGGATATTGTGTTCGGAAATGTTTAATGCATATACAAATGATGAGATTATATTTACCAGTAGTTTTTGCTTGAAAGACTAACAAACATCTGTCCATACATCGACTCTTACAAACTTTTGCCTTTGTTATAAATCTCTCTCTTCAGTCCTACACTCTTGACAGAGTGGTCGTAGTTTCCACAATGACAGTGGCTGGTCGAGGAGGTCCTCCTTCGCGATTGAGGTCCTCGCAATGCGTCTCCATCTACTTCTGTTCGCCGCCGAGCGAGAGCATTCCACAATAGACTGCTGTGTGGCCGTTTTGATGAGGTTAGTCCATCGCGTTGGCGATCTACCCCGAGAACTTTTGCCTTGTACCGCTCCTTGGACAATTAAACGTTCCATACAATCTTCATTCCGGATGATATGGCCGAATTTCATGAGAATTCGTATACGAACAGTTGACGACAATCTCTCTCTGATTTTCAGTTCATTCAGAATGGAAACGTTAGTTCGAAAGGCAGTCCAAGGTTTTTGCAGCAGTCGTCGCCAGCACCACATCTCTAGAGCATCAATTTTTCGGCGTTCTTGTTGCCTGATCGTCCAAGTTTCTGCACTATACAAAAAAATTGTTATAAATAGTAACATAAAAAAACACACCTTATTTCTTATTTGGAATCGTATCGTGGACAGTGGACGAGTCAATCCACTGATCCGCCAGCCCAATCCGTCTGCTAATCAAACAAATTTAAGACAATGAAAGCAAAGAACAAAATTAGCTATTATTTGAAAAAAAAAAAAGAACAAAGAAAATTACCAAAATGAAGTAGCTTTAATTGAAACCGAGCCACGCAGCCCCGCGGCTGTTGCTCTACACCCTCGGAAGGTTCTAGGATGTATTCTGTTTTCTTAATATTTACTCTATGTAGATATATGTAGTATGTTAAATATAATTGATTAGAAGACTGTCATCATTGTGTTCTTTTTTATTTGATATTTATATGTTATATATTTTATTTTATATTTATATATTTATTTATAAATAACTAGCACTGAGTTCTGTAATTAGGTAAAATTACATTGTAATAACGGGTTCTAATTAAAAACAGGTTGTAACTAAACATGGGTTATCACTGATTATGGGTTACCACTAAAAACAGGTTGTCATTAAACACGGGTTATAACTAAAACGGGTTCTGACTGAACACGGGTTATAACTAAAACGGGTTCTGACTGAACGCGGGTTATAACTAAAACGGGTTCTAACTGAACACGGGTTATAACTATAAATGTGACATAATATAATAAATATAATATAATAAATGTTTCTTTCTTTTTTATTGTTGACAAGTGTCTGACATTTTTGATGTATTTTTTTTTATACGAGTAACATTTCGAATTTTAATGACTTAAACATTTATTCTTTTTAAGTTTTAATATTTGCATGGCTAATTATGGCGAAATATGAGGACTTATACTTATTGTAACATCTATACACTTACCATGTTTCTTGTAAATATATAAATAATAATAATAAATAAATAATAATATAAATAAATATAAATAACTATAAATAAAAATCAACACCATTTTCACAATTATGTTCTTAAAAGTCTGGATTCAAGATTATTTATTTGTAAAAAATGCGTATAAATACATGCACATGTTGACAATACAATATCGTTCGACATGTTTAGCCTGTACGGCATACAACAATATGTAGTTACACAGACAGACCGAAATTATACATCAAGTCAATTTCTGTCTTCAAATCTGCTATATATTTTATTCTAATACGCAATCTCGAAGTGATACTTAAATAATGAGTAATAATAATAAGACAATACGTACTTATCGTGATATACTATTTCGAAAGTGAAAAAAGTGTTGTCCTCCTCTCTCCTACTTGCTGTGCCCAACAGGGTCCATAATTGAAACCTTATGTAATAATTATGTATTATATATTAATTAATTATTATGGAATGCAATAAATAAATAAATAAATAAATAGATATATATTTTTATTTTTCTACTTCTGTAATTCACGCATACAAACTAGTAGGCGACATCTAGTGTATAAACGTTTTGATTGAGCATCCAGTGTTCAGGACCAGCAGCTCGGTAACCAATCAGATGACAAAAGATTCACATAATCACGTGCAGTCTTTGTTCTCTGTAATGAGAATGAGGAATGGATGCGATTCCGATCTAGTTTTAATTGAATTGATAAAAAACTTTTTTTTTTATACAACTTATAATGGCAAACAAGCTGACGGCCCACCTGATGGAAAGTGGCAACCGTCGCCTATAGACATGTGCAGTACCATGGCCATAACAGAGTATACTGTTTCGCCCATGATACCCCGCATACGTTGCCATTCCTGTAGACTCAGGTGTTATTCCTCTGTACCCAGTAAATTCACGCCATTACTGTTGACATATGCCGTATGGTCCCGGCGTAGAATGGGCCATCCCTTACTTTCTGATGAATAACGTAAGAGGCGAGTAAGGGAACTTAATTGTAGAGGGATGGGCAGCAGCGTCCCTCTTAAAACATCATCAAAGCTTAACTGCGGTTGTCAATTTACCTGCCAATCGTAGCAACTACTAGTAAAACTCCCTTAATGGGAAAGTGGGGAAGTCTTATGTTCAGCACGTTTACATTAGTGCATATATTTGTATATGAATTTAAAAATGACTAAATTTTCTTCGTTGCTCTAGTCCGACTGTTTATAATTACTCCTCTCCATTCAAAGGTTGGCTGCAAGAGATCGCTCTTAACGATAAGGTCGCCCATTGTTGTCTCACTGTGATCATTTCTTGTAATTGTTTGTATCTATAATAAGTTTACTATTGTAATCTTATGGAGGGAACAATGAAGAGTATTTATTTATTTTATGTATTTGTACATATTCATTATATACTATTCATTCCTTAAGAATAATCTAATATTTTTAAATGCATGATAATTTTATGGTATCTTTACCTGCGTTATGGGTATACGCTGGTGGGGCACCAGTGTGGAATGATAGGCGAAGATGAAAGAAGATCAGTTGGCCCATCGTGACAAATTGGACTAGAATTAAACACGATGGTTTCTAGGGGGGACTGCGTGGAGGTGGTCCTTTACTAACAACCCGTTTCTCCTACTCATAAAGGCTATCATAGGTATCAGTATACTCTGTTATGTCCACGGTACTGCTCATGTCTATAGGCGACGGTTACCACTTTCCATCAGGTGGGCCGTCAGCTTGTTTGCCATTCTAAATTGCATAAAAATCATATGTAATGCAAGTGAACTGTAAAAAGGCTTTTTCTTGATATTCTCACGAGAATGTGAGGCATTTTTCTGCTTGGCGTGCAATAAATATAATATTTTATTCAAATCAAGATTGACAACCCTAACATATATATGCTTCGCCAAAAACAGGTCAACTTTTGTATCCATATGTGCGTGTATAGGGTTGCCATAATGTTTATTTATTACTCTGTGTATGGGAGAAATTATATGGTAAGGTTCAATCGGGAAATATTTTTTATTTTTCGCTAGAAAATTACATATATACATACATATCTGTCACGCCTGTCTCCCATTAGGGTAGGCAGAAACAATGGAACGCCAAATGCTTCGCTAGAGAATTCTTACGAATATATTTGAAAAAAAAAACAAGACAAATAATGCGTTATGCATATACTATAATATTCTGAAACTGCCAGATTAGTATATTTCGGTTACTTTCATAGTATATTGCCCTCTTCTTTTCATTTAAGAGTTTCCTCTTGTCGGTGCAACTAATTCATACATCTTCCTCCAGTCAGCTCTATCCCAGGCCATATCCTTGATCTCCCTATACGACACGACACCTAGTGTTTCCTTTATCTGTCCCATGTAGTTAATCCTCGGTCTTCCTCTTCCTCTTTTGCCCTCTATTTTTCTTTCTACTATGCTTTTAAAAAATCGTCATGTCGTATAAGGTGGCCCAGCGTTTTGTCTCTTCTATTCTCTATTATTTTAATTAATGTTCTTTTCTCGTTCACTCTTTTCAGGACTTCCTCATTCGATAGTTTTTCTGTCC